TCTTTCCCAGATCTAACACTGAGGGAGAAGATGCAGCCGAGTAGTGAGGAAACAGAAGGAAAATTTTAATGTCATTGGTGCGATAAGTTGTGGTGAATAGCTAGCATGTTGAGCTTCGCTCTCGACCAATTCTCCAAACTCATCGGGACATATTTCAGGTGTGATACACATGTATGAATGTTCTAGAATTGAGAAGAAACGTGACTGTCTGACAACTTTCTGGACACTGGACACCACGAGGCAGTTGTGTCCTTGCAATGAATTTGAATATGTCCTGATTTTTGTCCAATGTGTAGCAGTAAAGAATGCTTGTTTCATGTTTTCCTTTTTTCTTTGTAGATCTATAGTTTATCTGTTAAGCAATATAGTTTGTGTGTGATTTTTTTTTGTTTTTGTTTCCTGGGCGGGGGGGTGTTGATAAAGCTCATTTAGCAGGAGTGTCTAAATAGTTCCAGTTTAAATCATGTTTCTTCATGTATTTTACTAAACCAGCAAACCTGGAGTAAGAACATTGAGCATGCTGAACAGACATTATTGAGGTGCTCACGGACACCCACACATTCGTTTCATCTCATTTGTTATCCAACAGAGGAACACATCCAACTCTGACTCAAGTATTGCCTTATCATTTTAGCTGGAGAAACACGCTTTTCCTAGAATCGCCCACTAGAGGGTGCCATTGTTTAACTCAAAATAGAATTTCATTGTTCAGCCGCTGCTCATCGTTGGTTTTCATGAGAGCATTTGCCTGTTTAAAGGCATATAACAGGTGAGCCCTGCTGGTCTTTTTTTCTTCTTCTTTCTATTGTTCTATTTCAAGAAAGGCCAGCAACCCTGAAAGGTGTTGTGTCCACAAAAATAGAATAAAAAGGAGCTTGCAATTGACTTAAGAAGCTTGTTTCAGAAAAGTGCTCATTTCTTTTATAGCATCTACACTGCAAACATCGACTTTTAGTCTGTTCAGTAGTAGTGTTTAGTTTTAACTTTGTGTGATATTAAGATGGTATCCTTCAGTTCTTTATTCAGTTCAATTCTGCAACTGATTCGACTGTAATCACCTGATTTTGGTACTTGGCATTGCTATTATACATTTGTAATATAAATAATTGCTATATGAATAAAACCTGCAACTTTTAACCCCCAAATGATTTGCTTTTGTGGTGGGTAGTGCTATCAGCTGTGCAACTATTCATTTATTTATTTATTTATTTTTTTTTACAGAATCGTCCTCGACAGCTATTCAAAAAGTTATACAAAATGAAACGTCATAAAGAGTGTGACATTGTTTGATAAAATTATGCCCGCTAGTGGTTAAAGGCATAATAAACGGACCATTTGCATGTTTGGTTTTGCAGCAGTATAATGAATCCAGTGTTATAATTTGGCAGCATTTTAAAATCACAAGAAGAAGAAGAAAAAGAAGTGTAAGGAAGGTCCTTCACTGCTGAAGGACACATGAGAGAGACTGAAGGCAAGAGAATGAGACGTGCAATTTAAAGTATTCAGATTGACTTGAAGAAGGTAGGAGGAAAGACGACTGGACTACAGCAATAAAGCATCGAGTCTTACACGTAGGAAGTGATGTAAAGGTTTCGACTAGCAGTCGGACAGCTGGGAGAGCAGAGAGATGAGTGAATACAGAGCTTCCTTATTGACCTTATGCATAACCTTCATGTCTAGAAGAGTAAATTTGACATTTTTAGTTTAAACACCTTTAATATGTACACAGGAGGTCAGGTATAACAGTAAGTCTTTACAGATATTTAAATGTAGAAAATATTAAAATTAAACAAAGTTGTTGCACCTCATTCCTTTATCATTTGGTGAGGCTTGCAGCAGATTATTGAAACATGAGCAAACATGCATGCAGCTTGAAAAGGCAGCATGACCGTCTTTATTCTTCAGCACAGCCTGAACTCTCGTAGACGATCTTTGGTCTTGCTTTTAGTAGTTCTCCAGGGTTCTTGTAAGACGTTCTGAAGTTCTTCTTTGATTGCTGTCTGTTTTTTGTTTTGTTCACTGCCAAGACAATCCCACACTGCTTCAGTGATGGTGAGATCCGAACTCTGGGGAGGTCAGTGTGTCACTGATAGCGTTCCACTGTGTCTTTTTCAGCACAGCTATGCCTTCATTGCATTGACAGTAAGTTTGGGTTCATTATCATGCCGAAATCAGATGTTTTCAAGTGGATCAATATTTGTGCTCATAATTCCATCAATTATGACACGATCCCCACTCATGAGCATCTATAGACATCTGTTTTACATTTGTAGACACTGCTGTTCCCCTCTCCTTACCTCTGTGTGTTAAAGAGAATTTTAAACAAAAAATTAAAAGTTGGATTCATCGCTCTGATGTTCCCACTGATTTTCATTCCAGATTATGTGTAATAAGGCATACCTCAGCCTTTTGTGCCCATTTCCCTTCCTTAAAAGGTACTGTCAATTTTTAGGGTTATTTCATTAAAGGACGTAAAAATAATAATTTAGTCAAAAATACATTGTTGTTGAACGTAATTACATACCAAACTGAATCATTATCACAAACTTAATATCAATCCTAATCCAAAAATACATAGCTGCTTCCACAAACTCGTGCCCTCTGCATCAATACAGCAGAGACGGACACTGCTGCTATGACTAATTGTGTTTTATGTACATGGCTAGAAACCATGTACATATGTAGTACACAAGTCTACACCTCCAGACTCAATTTATGAAGGATCATAAATAATAATAAATCACATTATTTCAGCCATTCTAGCATTATTTTGTGGTAATTACCCAACATTGTAAAGACATTTGAAAATTTCAACTTTGATTTTTTTTCCCAAAATAGTAGTAATAGCAGTAAAATACGTATATAATAAACATGTAAATATTGTAAACAAATAACTAAATGTAATAAAAGTTATTTATAAAGTTATTTACAACCTTATAAACAGTACACTTGCAGAATGACTAAAACTAGTCAACTGAATGAACAACAGGCTGTGAGGTCAAAGGTTCTCAAAGACACCGTTTACTGGGGAAACCTGCAGTCAGCTGAGACTGAAGAAGTCACTTGGAAGTCACTTTATTTTAGAAGTACCTAAAGATGCAACTTAAAATTGGTTCTTTGCCCATTTCTTATGCAGAGAAAATTTGGGTTAGGTGTCTTTTTTATACTTGAATAGTTCATAGGTTGGTGTTAAGTGGACTAGCAAACAAACCTCAATGTCCAATGAAAAAGCAAACAATTTTGAGAATGCCTTGAGAACTACAGCTGAAGACCACTTAAGAAAAAAAAAAAAAAAAGAAATCACAATGAAATATAAATTATATTTTTTAAATGGCTCAAGGCTTTTGCGCAGGTTTGAACAGCTGTAAAAATCCTCAAAATCTCACCACATTAGACAAATCATTCATTGTCTTTGTATAATGTGTCAGATTTTGTGAAGGCCACACAAAAAGACAAAAAGCCAAGAAGGTCAGTTCTCTCGTCTTTTAATAACACATTCATATCTATGCTCTGTTTTGTTTACAAGGAGTTTAAAACAAGTGTTGATGACGACTAAAGGAATCAGGCAGGCAGAAGGTGAAAGTCCATATACTGTAAAGACCAACGGTGCCATCTGCTGGAAGGAGGGAAGACCTGACACTCCTGATGAGCAAGGAGTCGCCTCAGGCTGCGCAGTCAACAGTGAGATGGGGTTTTTTTTTATTAATTTGAGGTTAGGTCAAAATGTGATTATTCTAGATCCAGCTCAGTACAGAGGACCTCCCTCCTTCCAGCTACACCTACATTATCAGCTAAAACAACAGGTCCTTTTGCTTTTCATTGGAATTGAAAATAAATCATCAGTCGGCATAGAAGGTCCTTGCAGGGCACTAACTCATGTAGGCTTTTCACAGAGAGAAAGAAAATGCTAAATGCACCCAAACACAAGAGATTCAATCTGCTGTCATAAAGAAGAGAGAAAAATGTAAAGTCAACCAAAAGAATATTTTGAAGTTAAAGAAAGCTTAATGAAACAAACTACATAAAATGCAAATTGGATAAAGAAATCTCTTATGCTGGGTTGTTACAGAAGAAAATTAAAAATTGGTGGCAAGAGTTTCCATCTCCCAATTTCCTTAATATTCCATTTCAAATACAAGTCAGAATGCAGAAAGAAAACAAAATCATCTTTGGAAGAAGTACGTTTTTTTTCCTTTAATAGACTATCCACTACAGTATATGGAGATGCCACTACCCAGTTATTTATTTACCTATATTTCTTTCAAATGACTTTTTTTGTTTTTTTTAGTTATTTTGTGTCCTTTTTCAAAAGTTTTTTTTACCATTTATCTATTTTTTCCTTTTCCTAAGAGGTAGATCAACAAAATAATTACATGGTTATAGGTGTTGTGCCCCTTGATTTGGGAGGTGAGCAGCAGGGCAGAGCCGAGGGAGGGTTACGAGTAATTTTAGTGTGTGGTCAGAGCGAGACGAGCAGAAGAACTGAAGTTTGTCTTAAGCTGTGATGTGAAGTAGGGTTAGTGAGTAGCATCGGTAGCTTTGAGCAGTTTAACTGAAACACCTTTCCCAGGTCAACAAGTTGACGCCCTGCTATGACTGGCTCACTTCCTCCCTACGCATGAAGAAAATCTTCATCCCGTCTGGCTCATGTCACCCTGCATCACAATGTGTCCATAGAGTGAGTGTGTGTGTGTGTGTGTTTTCTCTTTTTTATTCATGTATTTTTTATTTTATTTTATTATTTTTTTTGCATTTACTTTTACAGTCCCATCTCTAAGCTGAAGAGGCACAATTGCAAAAAGCTGAAAAATAAATTAATAAAGTCCAAGAATTTGGGGGGGGGGGGGGGGGGGGGGGGGGGGGGGGTTGTACTAAAACACTGTCACTTTGTTGTCTGACTGCTCGCTCTTACTTTTTTCTTTGAACAAACCAACAAGAGACAATCTTCTAGCTGAGTTTGCTTGTGTTTTGAGGTAGCGTTCCTAGTTATGTGTCAAGAGGTTTGTTTGTTTGTTTGTTTGTTTGTTTGTTTGTTTGTGTTTCCTTCTTGGGAAAGGAGTCCCTCTGTCAGATTCTGTTTCTGAATTGTCAAAGCCCCATTCCTGCTGACGGACAGAGGGGTAAGAGGTGGGGAAGTGTTAGGGACACAACATGGAGGAGTTTGTGCTGTTTTAGAGCAAACTCTGCCCATCCTGGAGTCAGTATGTGTATGTGCGCGTGTGTGTGCGTGTGTGTGCGTGTGTGTGCGTCTTTTGTCTGTTTTTTGATCAGGTAAGATAAGTTTACTCAAGTCGGAATTTCCTTTCGGTCGGAAAGGGGCAATACCAGTCAGGATCTGTTTTGCCAGTTTACTGCGTGTGCTTCTCATCAGTGCTGACCATGTTCTAAAGCATGCCGGGTTTAAAGTACGACAGGCGTAACTCAAATAACTACGTGTGACACAGCCAAGACTCATCACCAGGAGCATTTTAGCTTCTTTCAGCTCACAGTTTTGCTTTTTTGGCCCACAGCATCAACTTTGTGATCGCGTAGCAACAAAAGCAAAATTCTGGCTCTGGTAAGTTGTGAAAATATGTGACTTTGGAACCAATATTAGGGCTGAATCTTTTATAGGTTACAAAATGACATCAGTGACTAATTCATACAAGCCACATGAGGTTTCACCATCTACTTGCTCAAGAGACGGGCAAAGGTGGCGCAAACAGCTAAACCTTCTCCCAGAAGTCATAACAAGAACAGGGACTGTTATGAATATTAGACTTATGAGAGGATGTTTTTGGATGCCCCAAATAACTGTTTGTCAGTAGGTTTGCCTTTCTTCTTGGAGCTCTATATCAAAGTGAAATGAAACCAGTGGGGAAACGTTGTAGAAAATGGTCAGCCATAACAAGCACACAAGCAACAGGTAAACATGTCTGAAACACTGGTATGGTCCTTTAAACAATGTTAGAAACCGTGTTGGTTTTAACTCAAATGTTAGCGTGCTGGCAATGATACTGTTTTTATACCACGTGGCACCTCTCACTACCAAACTCTGTCCACTAGCTGATACAACTTATTGGCTCAATCACTCAAATTGCAATAAAAAAAACAGAACAGAGAGGAAAACCAGATGAAAATGAAGAAATAAATGATTTTTGTCTCTGTCTCCGGCTGCAATTTGTGTGAGCCATTCTTTCTACATTCTTACTTACAGAGCGGGCGTGGCGAGCGGCACGGGGGCGTGGCGAGCGGCACGGGCGCGCCTCAGTTTAAACTGTACTGTCGTCTCTCTATCGTAACGAGACAAGAAGGGTTCAGGTGAAACTTCACCTGAGTTCTAAAATACTTCAAGTCCTTCTCAGTGAGCTCATTTGCTTAACGTGGCTCTATACTGCATTTTGGACTCCGCCCCTTCCTGTTTGTTTGGCACAGTCACTGTGACATACTGAGCTACATGTTAGTACTTCGTCTCATTAAGTAGCTGTAGATTTCTGCATTAAAAAAAGCTAAACAATAAGATGGGGTGAAATTCAACTATTTTCCAATAAAGACTCAGAGTGTGGATTCTGGGAAAAATAAAGAAAAACGTTTTTGAACAGAAGCGAGCAAAACGAACACAATGGAGACCAGCGCAAGAGAGGGCAAGGGACCCTTACATTCCCGCCCACTCCAAAATCACTCTTCTACCAGAGGACAGAAGAGCAACGACAAAGCATGAAAACGTGGTGTGAAAGAGCAAGAAGGGAGAAAACTGACTCCTCACCATCCACTGTTTTTGTTTTTTTAGATTTGCATCAGATGTTCTCAGTTGTTTGCTGAAATATTTAATCGATTAGTGCAACAGTACGTCCCCAGATGTCACTTCCAAACAAAGCTTGCTGTACTAAATAAGAATGAAAAATAAAAAAATGTCGTTCGAACCACTCCAGAAGCCCGCAGGCTGAGGGATGAATCCTGAATAGCATGTTGGTGGCTGTGAACGGAGCGCTGTGGTTTAGAAAGAGGTGGAAACTTAACAGAGTCGAGCTGTGACGTTAGCGCCTCTGGGCAAAAATACAAGCGCAGACGAGGTGGAATAGATTTTTCCCTGTTTGTGGATGAGCTGGTGGGGTAGCCGATTAAGCTTGTACCAAGCACAGGTAAGACATTAAAAAGACAGTTATTTGGCAGTGTCCTTCCGCAACTTGGCTAAGCGCAACCTTTCTGTCTGATGGTTCTTTCCCACTTTGATTTTTAAGGTTTTTTTCTTCAAAAGTACAAAAGGTTAGAGATCACATTTCGAACATGTTATGTACAGGTTAGAATATTATCCCAGCTGCGTTGCTGTAGCTCCCATCTTTTTCCTCTAAAAGATTTGTGGATTTTCTCCACTGGGTTCTCATCCTACTTTTATCTGCTTATTTTTTCCTCAACCACATCACCCAAACACATCCCCTGACTTTAAAAAAAGGAACATTTAAAACCAGCGAACACAGACGTGCCTGCATTCACACATACACACAACAAGCACACGTGTAGCCAACAGGGAGCATCTGAGGTGGCACGGTCAGTGCACAGGTAATAAATATTCACATTCAGAGAAGTCCGAGCTAGTTCCTGTGTGTAAGTAAAACACCTGACACAGTACAGCTACTCTGTAGGTGGACCGCTAATATTTAAAGTCCCAACCTCCAGGTGAGAAAGGTCGCATTTTCATATGCCAATATTGCAGGTCTGTAAAGCAGTCTCATAATGTTTGGCGCTTCGTGGCAATGTCGTCAAAATAAGACGAGGAGAGGAGGGTATTTCAGGGCACACGGCAGGCCAGAAGCCACAGGAACGGGGTATGACACAAAGGTTATCCGATTACCCCGGTGGCGAGCTTGGTCACCATGTGCACTTGAGGATCCTCTCTCGAGTTAAACATAACTCCCTTTTGGCCATTTCTCTGTTTCAGACTACAGAGGCTCCACTCACACGTCAGGAAGACCGAGCATGTTTCCCCCCAAAAGATGGAAAAATGGGACCCGTTTCTTCTCTACACCAGCAGACCGATCTCTCTCCACTTAGGAAAAAAGAAAACAGCATCTTTGTCATCCTGAACTCATTCAACCATCACACCAGAAAACACAAAAAAGGAAGAAAAAAAAAACTACCAAAGCCATAACTCAATACCTAAAAAGAAAAAAAAATAATTTTTCTTAAAAAAATAAAAAAATATTCAGGACTCTCAGCAATTTTTTTCCTATTATATAGAAGACCAGCAAGCAAAAAAAGGAATACTGAGGTAACTTTACCCTGAGGTAGGTTTTTTCTTTTTCTTTTCTAATCTGTTCTAATCTTGGCGAGAGCGTCCAAGCATCGACCCCGCCCCTCATTATCATACGCAGGCAGGGTCTGGAGGCTCCGCCCACAGGCCTTCAGCAGACAGGGAGAGAGAACGAGGAAGCTGCTCCCTTCATAACGACATTACCATTGCTGAGCTCAAGGCAAGGAGCTTTGGAAGACTTTGCTTTTCGTGCTCGACCAAGATCAGCCTCGGACTGCCTTCATCACTGCAGACATTAAAGGCATTTTTATTTAAGAGAAAAAACGCAGGGATGGCTGAAGCACCCGACTCTCCGTCCGAGACTGACCTTGACTTTCTGCACAAACGTAATGAGCATAATGTCTGTCGCTGACACACTTACTCATACTTGTTAAGCGAAGCCGTCAATACATTCACACCAGGGGCCGGGCTAACTCACATATCATATATATATAATATATATAAAATATGCCGTTTGGGGTGCAGGTCGCTCGCCAGCGAGCACAGCTGCTGGCAGTTGTTTTTTTGTTTTTTTAATCTAACACGTGAGCTAAGCCGCTGCAATAGAACTGCAGGACCAGCTGCGACCTCCACTCCCGTTACTGTCTCTTGCCGCGCCTTCCGCCACATAGCTAAATATTGGAAGGGCATCTTCAGTGCCTCCCCAGCCCCGAGCCTTATTGTAGGCTAAATGATGCTACACAGTACAGGCAAGGGACTAAGAAAAATAGAGAAGACGTCCTCGTTTTTTTTTTAAAGAGGAAAGGCAAGGCGGCCAGGCGCAGCTTTTTTTTTTTTTTTTTTTTTACATTTACATGAAGATTATATATTTACAACCTCATATTTTCTCTTTTTTCCTTTTAATCTCTCTACTATCCTGAAAGGTTTTAAAAGAGCAGTGTTAACATCTGCGGCCCCTCTTCTACGCTCTCATTTGGCCAGTAGGTTAGGGGCGGGCGAGGCAGTGCCAGACCCCGCACCTATCCTCCTGTGCCACTACAGCAGTTCCCCTGTTCCTTCTCCCAGCTCCACCTCACTGCATTCTATTAATAATAGCTCTGAATAAAACATTTCTATACATATATCTCTATGTTAAAAAAAAACCACCTTTAAAATATAGGACTGACTGCAGATGGTTGGAGAGGTCTCTTGGAGGCGATAGGACAAGAAGGCACCTGCTAGTGTGCCTGGGAAACGCAGATCTGCTATAAATCGGAACCCACCATAGCGTTGCTTCATCCATACATGGAGAATAAAGTCGGCCATGTTGTTTCGACTTATCTGGGTGGGATCCCATAAAGTTAGAGCAGATGAGGAGCTGGCAGCAGCCATACCGAGGCACACTAGGAGGAAACTATACCCTCTCTCTCCATGTTCCTCCTTACCCTCAATCCCACCATCCTCACTCAGTTTCTCTTCTGGCCTGGAATCTGATCTCTGTTCTGTTTCTTTTTTCTTAATCCTGTTTTTATTATTTGTTTCATCTTTTTGATTTCACTCGTCTTTGTTCTTTGTCTTTCTCTGTGATTATTGGGCGTACTCTCTCCCTCTTTATATCTCTCCCTGTCTCTCGCTGGGTCCGTGTGTCGCTCTCATGTATCCGTCCGTCTATCCGTTCGTGCATTTGTCTGTCTGTCCTTCCGTTAGGCAGGGGGCCCGCGGCATGTGAGAAGGGTGCGGGGACCCCTCACTTCCTGCGTGGCTGGTGGTCCTGAGTCAGTCCCTGCGTAGGTCTGCCCATCTCTGTGAAGCCCGGCGAGTGAGGGCCAGGGCCCATGCCAACTCCGCTTTTCTGTGTCTGTTTGACCTGGGTCAGAATGTCTCTGATCTTTCTCTGGGCCAGCTAGGAGACAGAGCAGAGTTGAGAAGATGAGCTGCATAAGTTACGCCTTTTTCCCCTGCTGCAGGGAGACAAAGTTAGCAACACATTAGATATAGCAGACAAAACTGCGACTTCAGAGTTTGGTCAATTTTAGGTTTTTAGAAGGCATCAAGAAAAAGTTCAAGTACACAAAAATGATATTTTAGACAATCAAGGATGACAAGAAGATGAACTTTCTGAGTATCAGCAGCATGAACATATGCACCATTAAAATGAATCAATGTTAGCACAGATACTTAACCTCATAAATGCAGGAAGACAATCACATGCCATTGGCTACTTATAAATGCTAACATCTTTTTGGTAGCTAAGCTAACATAGCTTAGCATAGCGAGCATACAGTGCTGAATAAAATAAATATGACTAAGCCATGAATGTGTTATAATGTATGAGGTGTTAAATACGCAACAGGGCACTGAGTAACCATTAGCACCACCTAGATGTGAGTTCAAATTTCAACCAATCAGAGAGGTTTTTTCCTTTTTTTTCCATCATTGCTAATTAGAAGTGGTCACTGAATTTGTCTCACACTCACACTTTTTGGATTATGAGAGTCAAAGAAAAATACCTGCAAACAAAAACTGAGACCTAATTATGTGTCAAAACAATTAAAATGACACATTACAAAGGTCATTGTAGCAGTAGTGATACTTCATAGTTCATAACCATAGAACAGTTTGTTGAGAACATGATATATGAGCACATTACAAAACAGTAAAGGTGTACCTGGCTAGCATAGAAATGCCCATTGATCTTGACGATGACCTGGTCGTTTTCATCAGGTGTCTGTTCTCTGGGAACCACCACCTCAGCTGCTGTCAGGTTTTGCAGCTCGTTCACCTGGAGACACGAGACTTGGTTAGTGCGGCAGCAACAGTCCTTACTTAAAGCACCCTGATGTGCAGAATATGTTACTACTGGAAGTACACCAACGTATACGGTTTTGTGGCTTACCGTCTTGCCTCCCTTGCCAATCACTCTTCCTGCAGCAGCAGCTGCCATCTTGATGTGAGTCTCAAGTTTGACTTCTTCCTTTGGCCCAAAGAAGTTCTCTTCCTTCAGTTTGCCATAGATTCTGCCCTGAGCCTGGAGGAGAGGGCAAACAAAAGAAGGTTAACACTTTCCAACAACCAGTTGTTCCACCAACCAGGGATATTATGTCAAACAAAAGAGGTAAATGACTATCAGTGATTACCTTAAACTGAGCCTCAGGGGGTCCTGTCACAATCACCATCCTCATTTTGGAGTCTGGAGATTCAGCTGGTGCAATCTGAAGGAGATACAAGAAATACATTATTCAAATCTCAGTGTTTGGTTTGAGAAGTGTAAATGCTCTGTAGTCCTCACCATCTAGCAGTATTTGGAAAAGGAAATATTAGTATTTTCAAAATACCTTTCTGCAGATGCAAACAAAGTATTTTTCCCCTGAAAAGTGTTTACAAGATGCATCTGTTTATCAACACACCTTAATGGAGGCTCCAGCAAAGCGGCTCAGCTGTTTGATGTGCTGTCCTTTCTTTCCAATGATTGCTCCCACCGCCTGTGCTGGGATGTAAACATGGACCGTCTCCTGTTCTGGAGCCTGAAAAAAAAAAACAAAGCCAAGAAAATCCCATTAAATAAATAGCAACAGTCTTTTAAAAAGAAAAAAGAAAGAAAACTATAATCAGCTGATCTCTCAGGTAATCTTACCCCAAAGCAGCCGTAGGGGGTGCCACCAACTGCATTTCCAGGTGGTGGTGGGGGCATATTGGAGGAAGAAGGGAAAAGGCCCAGAGCACCCAGGTTAAGGCCAGGGATCAGATGTGTCTGTTGCTGCAGAGAAGGACAGCGTAGGTAAGAAACCGCAATGACAGTTACAATAGGTGGGCTGGTTCTAGTGTTGAACCAACACAAAGAAAAAAAGCACATCTCTCGTACTTGTGCTGTACTACTGACATTATTTGAATACGATTCAAACAGCCTCGCCATCATATTGCTATCATAAGTTCACAGAGTTCAAAGTCCGTCGCTGGGCTCCCCTCCAGTTTTCTGTGAGCGTGCACTCACATTCATCGCTGCGATGTCGTTCTCGTAAGCCTCCCTGACCTTCTTCATGATCTCCACCTCAGCCTGACAGCAGGCTTCGATGGAGCCTTTAACTGTGATGGTTCTCTCTGGATTATACAGCGTCAGGTCCTGGAGACTGCACACAGAGACGGCACACGGCGAGGTGTTACTCACTGATGTGGCTCAACTAGAAATTTTATCCGCTCATGGGTGAGCTGCAGTGAGGCGTCTTTCTGTGCTTTAAATCAATAAATCATTCACCTCAGCTAATACACAACCACAAGTTGGTGTGTGTCTTAC